CATTTACACGAACTTTTTTACTTATTTTTATATGCAGAATATGCTGCCGAAGTTTCCGGAATACAGTTCGGACCACCCTGTATATTGTGGGCAGAAAGCAAAAGCATCTCTTTTTAGTAAAAAAGCAATAATCACAGGTTTCATAGGCATATAAATTGTTAAACGTTGGTTTTTTAAATCAATTCTTTTTTTATCAATATTTCTTATACATTTCGTGATTTAAATAACATTCAAAATCTTTCAATAGGAAAAGGTTTTGACCATCTGTTCCACTTCAAAGGGCCGGTTAACGATGGGATTCAAAAGGACCTTAAATAAAAGTTTACAGGTCTAGGTAGAAGTAATAGTACTACCGTAATTATCACCAGGCGGTAGGAACTTATTGTCCGCTGTGTCCTGCCAGGACACGACCTCCACGTGATCTGACACAAAGGACGGGATCTGACACTTGAAAACGGCCGTGTTGCCCTTGATCGCAAACACGTCGTATACCTGGGCTTCGAAGTACTGATTTACAACTGCAATATCCAAAAAAGAAATCTTTATTGCAAATAAAATATAATTTATTACTCTTGATAATATTTTGTTCAATTAAACAATGGAATTAAATAAAAAATAAAAAAAATGCATCAAGAATATGTACTAGAGATGAGCAAAACTGCGATTTTCCAATCGCAATTGAAACTGAAGTTGCGATTTTTAAATCGCAGCGACTGTAACCTGCGATTGCGATTTTAATATTTATGAAACCAAATTATTTGTAAAAGCTTTTTCTAAATATGCCAATGAGCCATCCTCGTCCCATTTGGAAAAATTGAGATATGATTAAAAATACGATTTGGGCATCTTTTAACTGGTTAGGACAGCAAAAAACAATAGACGATCAAATCTATTTTTCCAAGGCATCTTGATTAAAATTAGTGTTTTAACAACACAGCCATGACATTCTAGATTGAAATTTAAAATACGATTTTTTTAAGCGAAAATGTCTAATGATTTGAAAATGTCTCAAATAAATAAAGTAAAAAAATACCGAAGGTGTAATTTAAAAATAACTTCTCTAAAAATAAATATCAGAGAGAAAATACAATCGCAGTTTACTATAAAATGCTTCAATAGACAACAAAATTACATTCGCAACAATATCGCAAATTGCAACTCCTAAAAATTCAAACTCGCAGATAGGTCCCAGTTTACAAAATCACAATCGCAGCAAAATCGCAAATCGCAATAAAGTCGCAAATCGCAGCTATAGTAATACTGGTTGCCTAAATTGAAACTTGCAAATAGGAGAAATCACAATCGCAGTTTCCTATGAGAGCCAATCGCACGTTGCGAGTTGCGATTGGGATTTTAAAATCGCTGCGATAGAATCGCAGTATGCGATTTCGTGTTCAGCTATAATATGTACTATTCTATTTCACTTATTCACGTTATTCGACCTGTAGAATGACAGGCAGCCCAGAATATGCCTCATAACTGCAAACAGCCCTCTTTTTTCATTTCACAACTTGCAGTTTTCTACAGACACAAAATAGAGCAGTATGCCGAATATGAAACAGTAAACTGGTTAAAACTACGTAAAAAACGATGATTACACTGAATGATTCCACTCTGAATGATTCACTTTGGATATGCATCAAAAGTCATACAGTGCAAACCTCGCTTAAGCTTGTGAATAATAGTATATTATTCAACCAGCATATTAATGGTGGCTGTTATTGGCGCGGATGAAGTTTACAGGTCATAAATCGTCCAAGTGAATAACAGCCATTATATTCGAATAGAATACTATACTTTATCCAGGACTCTCAAAAAAATTTAGATAATATTAATATAACTTTTTATTTTTAATGTCAAAAAAATATTGAACGAGGATAACGAGTAAGTATAACATGGAAACAAAACATTGAAATTTTCTTTAACTACCCATACAGCACGTCCAAATGAAATTACGTTTCTACAAGGGAGACACATGAGAAACAAAACATGTTAAAGTGACCCTAAGTGTTCATCTAGTTCTAACATATACGTGATGAGATACACTCAGGTTTATATTGATAGAATTGTGTGATACAGTGTTTACTAGTTGTATACCGTATGCACTCAAGATTCTAAAGAGTTTTTTGTAACGTAACAAATAATTATTAAAATGATGAAATCTGACGTCGGTATATGAGACATACAATGTATAAGTCATATGTATGTGTGATACTTCGTATCATAGTTGTGCCTATAGTACACACCTTGTAAAAATGTGACGTATACACATAATATAAATATCTATATAGACACTTTGTAATAGTGTACTGTTGTGTCTACATTCTAGCATGAATTGAAGGTGTGCGCACGCACGGATAGCCTCAGCGTAAATACACCGACCAAGTGTATCTTATGTGTCCTCTCTCCTTTCTCCTTTCTAGCAGTGGTATGTGTTAGCAGCCATTATTGTTTTATCATTCGGAAGCTCTATACAAATGTCCTGTTTGTGTGTAGTTTAAAAGAGATTTTAAGGTAAGCACAAGTTTTTAATTACCTTGTTACACCTTCCTAAGAGTAGGTAGCTCACTAATTTAGCTTTAACTAATTAAAACAAAATTGGATCGAGCACAGCTCTTGTTTGGAGTTTGGATCGAGATATCCGTAGAAGCAGTGAATAATGATACCATTATTCACTAGTGAATAATGGTTTCATTATTCACCGCTTCCACGGATATCTCAATCCAAACTCCAAACAGGATCTATTTGAATTTTTTAATGTCACTTTTTGCATTCATCTATGGGGTGTTCCAAAAGTTGCTTTTCTTCTCATAAGATTTTTAAAATATATTTTTTCCTTTTTAAAAAGTCTCTCATGTTATATTTCGATATGTAAACAAATTATTAAACACCATTACGAAGAAACAATGTTAATATTCCCTCATTTTCTACTCTAAAATTCAATTTAAAAATTTGAAGTTTTAAATGTCACTTTTTGCATTCTAAAATTCGATTTAAAAATTTGAATTTTTCAATGTTATTTTTTGCATTCATCCATGGGGGGTTTCAAAAGTTGTTTTTTTAAAAATAAAAACTTATATTAATATTATCTAAATTTTTTTGATGGTCCTGGATAAAGTATAGTATTCTACAAGCATATAATGGCTGTTATTCACTTAGATGATTTATATAATAAACATAAACTTCATCCGCGTAAATAACAGCCACCATTATATGCTCGTTGAATAATACACTATTATTAATTCAATCATTTCTATCACATCGAATTATCGGATTAGTCGCTAGAATTGAGAAATCTAGCGTTCATAACGGTCACATATTAAAAATGCCAATTTGAACCGATTCAAACTCAGGGTCGTTTCAAATAAATCATTCAATTAAACAGATGTTTTTCTATGCTCGTTATGAATTAAATCAACGGCTATATCAAAGAGTAATAGAGTAATAATCATTTAGTAGGATTATAAAGTTCAAAATTTTAAAAACATAGACTAAAGTAAGATTCTTATGCAGGCGAAATGTTGACAATTAATGTTATATAACATTGCATGCTAAACCATTCTACATTTTAGATTTAATAAATAATTTTTATACAGATACAAATGGTTTAGCCTTGAAGAAAATCAAGAACATAGCGAATTTTATCCTAAATTAACACCATATGATTCTAAAACATCCTATTTTTAAACCATTGCACGATATATTTCAGTTTTCCTAAACAAAAAGAAGAAATATTGCCGCCAGTTGAAGCTAAAATACACACAGGCTTTCTGTCAGTTTTATAACAATAATAATCTTGATTTTAATTAGGTTACATCTGATTACGAAAATCTGTCTTATTAAACCGGAAGTTATCAAACACAGAATTTACTAGATAAAAGTGAAAGAGAATTTTCGAAAATATTTGAACATTTGTGAGGAATGTAAACAAAATTATTTTCGAATTTTGTGTTTGATTGGTTGAATTAATTTCGGAAGACGATAATGCAATTTTATCGTCGTGTATAAAACAATATTTTTTTCCATAGCGAGTTACGTTTTAAAAAATATTCAGAAATTATTATTTCAAAGAATTTATTACGAGTAAGAAAAATATAGTGCTGGGTTGGCGTTGGTTTCTATGTAATTTGACAAATAAATAAAGCTGTCTCTTTAGTTGTCAGTTTTGAGTCAATATTTTTTAATTCTCTTTCGTGTCGATTGCTGATTGAATTGGAGCCAGAAATGGCTAAAAACGAAATAAGTAAATTACCAACAGATATTCAGGCTGAGGCGACAAATGCCATATCCAAACTACTTTCATTTAAATCCCGAATAACTTATGAAAAGGAATACAAAAATTTTCAAAAATGGAAGCAAGACAATTTTAACATTTTTTTTTATTTTTAAAATAAATACTCCAACTACATATATTTTAACAATTTTGGTTGCGCAAAACTGCCAGAAACCTTCATATTGTCATAATAATTATCCAATCGGCAAAATGTGACTATAAAATCCTTCATATTAAAGGAAATCGTTCAATTCTGGCAACACTGTGTGGACACAAACTTGGTCTGTACGTTTTATCTGCAACGTTTTACCCACACAAGCAAACCGTACGATAAGTCGTTGCGTGTGGACCGCGCTTTAAAGTGGCATTTTGATTTTTCAATACGAGGACAGGTCGATACGTTTTTAGGAAAAATTTTCAGTGTAATGTTACATGATATCTGGACTATACAGTGTAAGAAAATTTGAACGAATATCTTACTTTCAGTATAATGATACATGATATCTTCACTATACCGGGTGAGACAATTTGAAAAAATAACTGGGAACATTTTTTAGTCAAAAAATATCGGTTTAAGATATATTCTATTAACTATTTTATAATTGGTTTTGGAACATCTGGAACAATAAATATATCAAAAAGTATGTACTATTTTTTCAATGTTTAAATTATTTTGTCCAAACTCTTGCATGAAAAAAAACGTCTTTAATTCTGACCAACTAGTTACCGAAATTGACACCCTTTTCTTTGGGGTTGTAGATGTATGTGGCACTACCGTCGTCAGCTACCCAAGCTTCAATCACAACGAAATCAGTCACGAAACTTGGTACTACGCACTTTAAGATCCCGGTGTTGCCTTTCAGGACAAATTCGTCAGTAACTCTGGTCTCGTAGAATTGATTCACGACTGAAGCAAGAAGAAAAAAATAATCATATACCTGCAACGTGTTTTTTAATTAATCTGCAATAAAGATATTTTAAATATAGAATGTTCGTTTTTATCAGTAAAATTCCAGTTACTCCTTGTAGTATTCGAACCAATTACTACAAAATTACACGTTAATACTAATATAAGCTAGTACACTAACAATGGAATAATGGAATAAAATTCTAGGTTCTTCTAGGCAGGCAGTAAATGAATAGTTGCTTCTTGAGCTTCCGCAAAAATTGCTGCAGAAATTCCATCATCGTTTTACATTTTTCCATGGTTTAAAAAAAAAACTTTGCAAATTCTTAAGAGTCTATTACGCTATACCTTCGGGTTGCTCTCAGGGGTCGGGTAAAGCGGATGTGTGGTCGAAGGAAATATACAGGGTGCCCCAGAAATAAGTGCAAATATTTTAACTGGTAGTATAGTTCAACCCCAGAAACACGCCTATGAGGTTTTTTTTGCGAAAAAAAAATGTTGAAAATTTAAAATTTTTCTTGACATTTTCCGGGAAATTTGAAAAAACTTTTTAGAGCCACTTGTTTATTCACTGCGATTCACTGAGATTTATCTACGGTGTATCTAAACCTTGCAGTGTTGCAACCTCCTATGTTATCCACATTCTACATAGTTCTACATTTATAAATTCATAGACAAATTTCTACTCAAAAATTAGGAATGTTAAATTTTTATCAGTGCTCATTATTAATAATTATTATAGAAAAAAAAAACACATTAATTATTTTTAGTACTTACCCTTTCAATGAAAACTTAACAAAAACCAATGAAAATTAACTAAAACATTACGTTTATGACGTTTACGAAAATGATTCATCATATTATTCACAACCAGGTCACAAAAAAGAAATTCCTAAAATGTTTATCATAATTTAGAATTCAATATATCGAAAACAGCCCAACGAATAATCGATTTATTTCTGTTTTGTTTGTTTTCTTTTATGTTTCTCTGTTTTATTTGAACCACTGATTTACAAAACACCTTGAAAAGCACACATTACTTTGAATACCGTCTCTTATCGCCATTTTACGAACTACTTTCAATCTAAGAAAATACATGTTTCACTCAACAATTTTGTGATGCGCGGCTGTCTTGGCCGACGGTTGGGCTGTCGACGGAATTGTCGAAATACATCGAAAAAATAGCGAAAAAACAAAATACGTATTTAAAATTGTTGAGTGAAACATGTATTTTCTTAGATTGAAAGTAGTTTGTAAAGTGGCGGTAAGAGACAATAATTCTCAACCTTTATCCATTCAGAAAGATATTCAAAGTAATGTGTAATGTGTGCTTTTCAAGGTGTTTTGTAAATCAGTGGTTCAAATTGTGATGAAGCCTATATGAAAATAATGTGTTAAGTTAAAAATGGGGACTGTTATTTTAGCAGTTTTTATAATAGCACGTACAAGTAAAGCAGCACAAGTGTAGTTAAGTGTGTATCGAAAAAAGAGAACTGTCGCAGTTACATCGATCTGTCATAAGTATCCTTTTTAATGTTGGGTAAGTTTTTTAATTTAACTTTTAAACATTTAACTTTTAATTTATTTTATGTAATAATATCACAATATTAAAAATGTAATGCATCTCTGCAAACTCCTCAGGTGTTGTGATTTTATGTCTTACTTTTAACATATACTTTCTTGTCCCTATGGCAACACAGTGCGTCGAATTAACTGAAATCCGGGCTTGATCCGGGTAATTGGATGTAGTTGGCAATATCTGCCGGCGGTTCTCAAAATGTTGCGATTATTTTTTTAAATTTTCAATGTTAAATAACTCGGTTATTTTCAATTTATTTTAAAAATGGTAAAGAGAAAATATGTTTATTTTGACCAGATCTACCACCTCTTAAAATATCTGCACTCATTTCTGGGACACCCTGTATATTATATTTCAGAAATCTGCCTAAGGCTTAGCCCGATCCTGTCGTGTTAAGCCACAACCAAAATTCTAAATACACGTGCTTTGATTAAGGCTTGATTAAAGTTTGCAGAGCTTCAGCATTTGCCATAAAATAGCGAGCAATTTGTTAAAAAAACCATGTAAATTATATATAACTGTAATCACAAAACTTCAATCTATTTCCGAATTATAACGGAATTTTAATTTATGTCTTTATTTCCGAGAAAATTTAGTCCAAACATAACGAATATATTGTTGATGTTTGATCATAAAAACCTTAAAAATAAAGAAGTTGTCTAAAAATGTGCTACAATACAGATATAGTATAATCCTTAGGTAATTAATTGTTCTATTATATTACATTTGTGTCAAGAAAACAAACATTCATTCAAATCAATTTTTTAAAGGTTTTGGCATCGGATTCCGGCAATTCCAACAAAATTTTGGATTTTGGCAATTCCAACAAAATTAGGAATGTTCGAGGGAAGAAATTCGTGGATTTTTTTCATTATTATTTACCCAAAACATTATCTTTGCTTGTTTCGTAGCTGTAGGTGGTACCGTCATCGGCCACCCAGGACTCTATCTGGATGAAATCGCTTACGAAGCTGGGTACCAAACACTTTAGAATGCCTGTGTTGCCCTTCAGTACGTACTCGTCAATGACACGGCTGTTATAGAATTGTTGGACCACTGGAAAGAATAGATATACGACTACGATATTATTAAGGTTATGGCCATAAATGGAATTTTTTACATATCCCCACAGAAAGAAGTCATTGGGCGACAAATCATGAGAACGTGGTGGCCAATTAATTGTGCCATGTGTGGAAATTAGCCGATTGGGAAATGTGGTTTGAAGGAACAGATTTACGTTCCGCGCGTTATGCGCAGGACAGCCATCCTGCTGAAACCACACTTCCTCAAAATTGATTGGCAAATTTCGAACTGCTGGTACAATTTGGTTTTGTAGCATATCCAAATATTTGGCAGCTGTTAACATACCATCAATAAAAAAGGCCCAATGATATGATTTTGCAGCATGCCAGCCCAAACATTTAGTTTTTGTGGATATTGTGTCCGCAGTGCCATACTAAGGTGCTTATTTTCTCGAGACCAATAACGTACTATCGAAGGATTGTGGTAGCCATGTAAGGGAAACGAGCTTTCATCTGAGAATAATATATTTTCCAAAAATAAATTATTCCGATCGGCTCTTTCTCTTACAGCCTCGCAAAACTCCAGACGTCTGTTACAATCTGCGGGAAAAATTTCTTGCGTGGTACTGATTTTGTAGGACTTATATCCATGCTTTTTTAAAACCCTGCGCACCGTTCGAGCATTGCAACCAACTTGTTCGGCTATATTTCGGCTTGAACAAGGTTCGCTTGTTTCGACCGCGGCACAAATATTAATTTCCTTGTCGGGAATCACCTTCTCTGCGCCTTCCTTATTGTCACAATTTCTGCACGCCGCAATGTTTGCTCAAATTTATGGACAATGTTGCGTACAGTTGTGGCACAAGGCACAGGGCGATCTTGAAAGGTGAACACAAAACGCCCAATGACCTCTTCCACACTTGACGAAATGTAAAACCACTTAACGATATGCACCTTCTCTTCGGTCGTATAAATAGCCATTTTTGAAACACTTAACGTACATACCGAAACAGCTAGGCGAAAAGAATGATGCAAACATAGTTTGGATCTCAGGTGATCTATTTCCTTTTCCCACCCTTTCATCTACATAAAGGTGCGTATTCACTATCCGAACGAACGCTACTATCCAACGAGCGAACGTCCAGTCTTGTTCGCGCCGTTCTATAATTTTCATTCGTTTGCGAACATCTCTGATATACCGACTGGAAACGAATGATGGAGCGAACCGAATGGCAAACGGCCGCATGCATTCGGTTTGCTGTCCAAATATACCGAATTTCATTCCTTTGTTCTTTCGGATAGTGAATACGAACCTTAACATAAAGCACCGCCCCTCTCAATGCGTTCTCCCACCATGCTTATGCTTTACCTTGCCCACACCCATAAAAACCGGCAACACTGTATCGGTCGCACCGGCTCCTCGCCGGCCCCTTTTGATGCTGTCTCTCTGTCTGTCAACCGGTCATTTATATTATTCTCTGTCTTACACGTTAAAATCCTATACACAGTAATCAAATGACCAGGTCGGTAGATATAAATACTTATTTAATAAGGATTCTTTACTTCAAAATTTTATTTTTGAAGCTTTCTCAAGTTAACATATATTTTTCGTTGATAATACTGTTTTTTCAATAAAAAAACTCGATAAAATTCAAAATAAACTATAAACATAGTCATTTTTTATACAAGAAGATAAAATGGTATTTTATAATTATTACGATAATGCAATTTTATCGTCGTGTATAAAACGATATTTTTTCCATAGCGAGTTACGTTTTAAAAAATATTCAGAAATTATTATTTCAAGGAATTTATTACGAGTAGAAAAAATAATGTGCTGGGTTGGCGTTGGTTTCTATGTAATTTGACAAATAAATAAAGCAGTCTCTTTAGTTGTCAGTTTTGAGTCAATATTTTTTAATTCTCTTTCGTGTCGATTGCTGATTGAATTCGAGCCAGAAATGGCTCAAAACGAAATAAGTAAATTACCAACAGATATTCAGGCTGAGGCGACAATCGCTATATCCAAACTACTATCATTTAAATCCCGAATAACTTAAGGAAAGGAATACAAAAATGTTCAAAAATGGAAGCAATTAAAAAACGTGCGAGAAGAAATAAAGTTTTTAATTTTTAACCTATCCTAGCTGTTAAAGTATCATTTAATCTACCCGTGCGTTTAAAGTACTATTTTATCTACTGTTTTTGATATAAGGCATTTTTAACATTTGCTATGGAAAAAAATCATTTTTTTTAACATTCGTTGTAAAATAATAATAAATATAAAGGAGAAGTATCTCCTTTGTAGCATTTTCTACGCCTATTTCTTGTAGTTACCACAAAGCACCAAAATCATTTATTCTATATACACTATATAATATTTTACCAGTGTATGATAT